GCCCTGTCATCTAAGGGCTCCACTCTTCTTCCTTTTGGCCTTGTAGCTTTTCAGTGATTCCTCTGCATCCATCCTGCCCGCAGATGAGGGAAGAGAGGATGATTTTATGGGAGATTTCATGGACGAGGCCTGGAAGTGGTACACATCATTCCTGCCCATATTCCATTGCCCAGAACTCAAGTCAAAGGCTACACCTAACTGCATAGGAGGCCAGAGGGGAGAGAAACTCTAAGTTAAAAGGTCACCTGAAAGCCTTCTTACTCTTACACTATAAGTGATTTTCTTATAGCCTGCCCTTTATACCATCCAAATGGTATATTTGCTATGGATGTAGTTTCCATAGGATTTATATCTCCACTGAGTATCAGCAGAGTCCTTTATAAAGATCCTTTGTTGTTAGTTTTTTTTCTCCTTTCACTAATTCCACCTCTGATATATGAGATTTTCCAAACCCTCTAGAACTATAACCTGGGGATAGCTGACTATCACTAAATAAGTGTCTGTAATCAAACTAAGGTATTATTACCTTAGAAGTAGAAAGTGCATAATTGTATTATAGCAGAAGCTTGCTCTTTCCACTTCCCTGGAATCACAAACATTGTGTACAGCTGGAGCCAGGAGGTGGTTGCCATAACAACAATGGAAAAGCTAAAAATAGCCTTTTTCATACTATATTGCTTAAGGTGGAATTATGACATATTATGGTGTTTTAGGGCAGGTAATTCTCTTTCATGTGGTAAATGTTTGCAAACTTCCTTCAACAAAGCAATATCTGTATGATGTATTTGGATTGCTGGTTCTAATTATGTACCTGACCCTCCATCTCCAGGATTCTTTCCTGGCGTAGAACTCTGTATTTATATTTTTCACTCTTCTTGAGAGTTTGCTAGAGAATTATCTGTACCTATTTCAGTATTATGTTTAAGCTTTAAAAACAAACAAAAACACACTCTGTAACAGCCCTCCAAGAGCACCCTTTTGCACTCCTGATAAGAACTGGAACTATGAAGAATTGTGATGTAGCCTTTTGCACAGTCTCCCCTATCTGCGATTAAGCTCAGTACACAGCCCACATAAGGACTGGATATGTCTCAGTGTTTTGTGGCCATGTTTACACCTCCCCATCTCTCTCCTCGCCTGCAGTGTGGGGCTGTGATGAGGTTCCCTAGGGAAGAAGAATTCAGTGACTTAATTCAGAGAAGAACAATCACTTCCTCTATTCGATATTTTTATAGTGCTGTGGACAAGGATACTGCAACAGTCTGATGGTATAGTGAGGCATTTATAGCATAATAAAGGCTTGGCAATTTTTTTATTTAGGTGATAATTAAGGAAAGTGTTATGATTGGGAATTTCATGGGTCTAAGGGAATTCTGCTGGAGAGCATGGCTACAGGAAGCTCAAAATGCAAGCTACTAAATTTTACAGAGTTGGGTGAGTTTAATATTTGGCTTGTAAGAAGGCAAGTAATTCAAGAGTATGTTTGTATGAAAAGGTTACTTCCTTATCAGCAGTGGTGTTTTCTGCTTTGTTCTTTCAGTATTTTAGTTCTAGTAGATCCTCAATATTTGCACTACTGAGACACTGTTGTGTGGCTGTTAGCAAGTAAGCAGTGTGATGAATTGAGAATGCTGCATCACAGAAAATAATACTTGGCTTGTTTACTTGGATATTTGTCATACCAAACTGGAAATGTGCTGAAGTATGAGCAACATGAGTCTTCATTATGGAACTTCAGCAAATATTCTTAATATACCTTCCAATCTTAGAAGTGTTCCCCAGGACCCCAGAAAATGAGAGATTAACTAGGGTTTAGTTTTATGTTTGCTTTTGTGTACAATTAAGCGCAGCCCATTTTGTCCTGCTTGATATAACGGTTGTCATGAGTCTGGCTGTGCCATGGAAACTGGTTTGACGTCACTAAAACTGCTTAGATGGAGAATTAGAGCTAGACAAAGTAGTTGATTTTAAAGATGAGTCCTTTGTGCCTCACAGTCCAGATGTTCATCCCCAGCTCTCCATAAAGAATAGGTGCTGTATACAGTACAAGGATTAAGACAGCTATGCCCAGTGTGTTAATTTTGATGCAGACAAAACTAAGCTGAATATTATCATCTTTGGAGAGAGAGAATTTTGTGCTGTTGTGTGGGTGTGGGTGTGGAAGGAAGGTTTTTGCTCCATAAACGTACATGTGCTTCTTGGTAGCACATAGTTTTTGTAAAAGGGGTGTTTTCTCTACTGTCATCTTTGGTTCAATTATAAATGCTATCCTTTTATTTACTTAGGTCTAGTGCATTCTTGCTTTACACTTTGTTGGCCTTGGGCTTGTTTTAATGTATTTTAGAATGCACATATTGTGTTTTGAATCAAGTACTCTCAAATTCTGACTTTTCTCTAATTCAGACTCTACTTTCTAGAAAGTTTAATAAGGTAGAATGTTTGAGAACAAAAATCTTAGTTGTCTCAAGGAATAAGCAGGTAAAGGAACATACCTGCATAGTTGTGAAATATTTGACTATTGGTCTATTATTTTGGAAACCAGGAAAGAAGTATTTATTATCTTTATGTGGATTTTCCTGTATTGAAATTATTGCTGTGGTGAGTGACATTTTAAGTCTGTTTTGTTGAGGTCATAGTTTAATTTTTAAAATGTACTTGATAACATTAAACTCTTTTAAGTTGTTTTCATTTGTGAGGAATGAAACAAAAAAATCTAAGATTTTTGTTCAAAGGCACCCACAGCCACCCCAGCCAGTGTGACATAATGGAGCGCATCATCCAGCTGATAAAACCTGTAGCAACAGGCCCGAGCTTTGGCGAACCTCATCGTCTCCAGCCACTTCAGGCTGGCTGCTTCTGGTTGTATGAGAAAAGGTTAAAGTAAAACCGCCTAAACCTACAATGATGCTTGGGGTTTGGGAAGGGGGTCCTAGTTGTCAGGATTTGGGGTTACTTCTCAGAAAGTGTATTGCGCTACGTAAGGTACAATCACTCCCTTAGCTTCCACTGGATTGGGATCTGCTCTGAGCTTAAAGGTGACACGGTCTGATATAACTGTATTTCTCTTCCTCTCTTTTTTTAACAGATTTCTCAAACATACCATAAAAATCCACCCATTTAAAGTGTACAATTTGATAGTGCCTGGTATATTCACAAAGCTGCAACCATCACCACAATGTAATTTCAGAACATTTCCAACATCCTAAAAAGATGGAAATATTTTAAACATCAAATTAATACTGTTTTGAAACTCTCCAATAACAAAAGTGCTTTTTAGTACATTTTGGTGAAAGGAATTTTTCACAAGTATAGAGAACATGAAATGACAAAAAGTCATGCTATTTCAGCAGTTTTTATCCTAGAGTGGTTGGGTTCTGACTCCTGATAGACACTCTTACTCTCTTACCTTAAAATTGAAAAAGAAAAGGCTTTTCTGTCTCTGGGAGAGACAAGCAAAAAATACAAGAATGATGTAATTAATACACTGACTAAATACTTCCAATTTTCTTCAAAACCCTAATAAAGAACTTTTTTAAATTTGTTATTTGATTTCCTTGACCAAAATGTTGATGGGTTACTGCTTAGAAAAGTGCATATTACTAACAAGGACTTCAGTTAAAAACAAAACAAACAAACAAAAAACAACAACTTGTTTCCAGTGACACACTGAGCTCAGGGTCCAGACTTCCATTTGATGGTTGAAGTGGCACCTTGCTTAGAGCCTGGCAGATGGACTGGGTGACCTTTGGGAAAGATTTCTTTTTGGATTTTTGTCTAAAATAACTTAGATGCCCTTCAGTCATGTTTCTTTTATTTTTTGCATTAAAGGGGACTGTATAGTTTTGTTTTGTTTTTTAAATACTGAAGAAATAGGCCTTGGGGAAGTAAATTCAGATGACAAATAATGAGAAACTGAGTCCAAGGAAAGGCAACTATCCTGGAGGGTGTGGGAAGAGGGTGGCGAGGGGTCAGGTTTCATAGCTGATGAAGGGGACCCACCCAGTACCCCCTCCCCATCCCCTGAAGAATGGATTTGAGGGGGAAGAGTTGGTTGTTAATTCTGTCTAGGATTCCTAAAATTCCACTCCTGTTCAGCTCTAGAGACACAGATGATTACTAATTGGGACCTTAGTAGAGTCATTATTGATACTGTGCATTTCAAGCCTGAGGTTAAGTCCACATTTGAATGACCCTAATTCCGCACTTTACCCAACCCATATGTGCTTGCTAACAGCTAGTATATTTACCGCATTGCTTTTCTCCAACTAATTTTCATTTATTTGTGGTATTAGTAATTCCTAGTAACTTTCTGAGTTTTAACTTTCAGTCATCTCTAAATTTACAGAGCTTTGCCTTTTGGCAAAAGAGTATGGTTGGACGAACTATAGGTCACATCATTTTAGAGTCAACTGTTTAGTGTCTGAATATCTGCTACCCAGAGTAAGTAGGAGGTCAGGACATAACCATTCACTTATTGCCAGAAGGTTTTATTAAGTGCCTGGTAACACGCACAGGGCTGTGCACGGTGTTCTGGGGAAAAGTATAAGACAAGGGCTGTGATGTCCAGAGGCTTAGGGTTTTGTTGAAGGAGAAAAATCTTTGTACACATACAATAATTAAATGCTACAGCAGGGTAGTGTGTGATGCTAGGCCAAAATAAAAGCATACAGGGATTATAAGAGTGTTTCTAAGGGTGAGAATTCTTGGTGATATGCCAGAGAAGACCTCTGAGAGGCCAGAGATCATGAGACTTTAGATCTGATCCATTCACACTCCCAGATTCCTGAAACTGAGGAATAAGCTAATTGCTAACAAGAGCTATTTTTAGTTGATTGAGTTATACCTCATTCACTGACCAAGCTTATCACAAGGTGATGAAAGGCAAGGAAACATAGGTGTTAGAAAAGCAGCTGTTTCAAATAATTCTGTATTTTAATCTATAATTTTCAAAAAGTTGTGTATATGATTTCATTCTTTTATTTTATATTTTCCTTTTTTAGGTCAAAAGGGGCGATTCTGAACATCTCCTCTGCCAGTGGCATGTATCCAGTCCCACTGATGACCATGTACTCGGCAACCAAGGTGAACAGTGTTTTAGGAAATCATGTCAGAATGAAAATGAGGAATGATTTTCAGTCTGAGAAACGAGCATAGAACTTTCTTGAAGTTCTCTTCTTGGCAGTTTTCAAATGGACTGAGAAAAAAAGGAAAACACCTGACATTTGTTTCAGGGAAGCCAGAACCGTAGACATACTGATTGGTGTAAACTTATCAAATGGGGCACCAAGATCTGTGGACCATAGGTGTTTTTTTTTCTCCCGGTAGTTTACTGATTTTAAAATTGATATCTGTACTTTCCATAGAAAGCTGGTCCAGGCCAGTTGGCTCAGTTGCTCAGACCATGTTAATGTCTAAGACTAGGGATTTGATCCATGAATGAGTCGGCTGCCTACAGCATAAATTCCAGGTGCAGAGCTAAGTAGGAGGATAGCAGCCAGCCAGCACATAAATACACATGGTAGACACAAAATAGGCTGGGTGAAGTGTGGGTGTTTTGCCACATTGTTGAGAATTCACAGATATTTATTGTCACTTCTGGGGTGAGGCAGAGCTCTCAGTAAGATAGAATTTTATACAACATCACCATTCCCCTCTTCATATTACCACTAGAGAAATAATTTAGAATGCATTTCCTACTTCCTATAGGTCAGTGGCATCAACCTCATATACATTGCTGAGGCATAGGGTACATCTCTGAAATGACAATGACCATTGAAATGCTGAAATAAAGTGAATAAAACATAATACACAATTAGAACTTGGAATACGTCAAAACAATTGTCTTCTTTCTCACGTGGCTCTTTGTCTCCTGGAAAAGAGTAAATGGTGACTAAGAAAGCTTGGCACCATCTCCAATTCTGCAAATCTACTTGTTTTCGGTATCATTGAAACCTACAGTAGGCATATTTAAACTGAACACCATGTTTCTTGAAGTGATTGGTGAACTCCAACTTCTCAAACCTGTTTCATTCCACAGACACAAGATGGTAATTGGGACCCTAGTGGAGTCATTATTGACATTTTGTGTTGCAAGCCTGAGGTTGAGCCCACATTTGAAAAGTGGTACATTATATTTAACAGATAAATTTAAAGTTGTACTATCAGAAGAAGATGGGCTATCATGTTCATCTCTACACTTCTTGGATCTTGCCAGCCCAAAACAAAGGACCAAGAGGATGCTTGCTCTTTTTGTTTTTTTACTGACAACAACATCCCATAGAACAGAATTGAACAGAATTCATATTGTATTTCTGTTTGAATGGCAAGTGGGGAGGAGGAACACATCCTTTGTTATATAATAAAACATTTCTTCTTGGAAAATAATCTTCTGAAAAAAGTGAAGGTAAAAAGAACCTTTTCCAGTTAGATCAAAATTTGATCTGGATATTATATTTGGTAAGAGCATAATTTAGTGGCAGCTAAAAATAACTTGAGTTTTGTTTTTAATGATCTCTTCTGCATTTGAAATTAAAAGAATGATTAGAAGCTGTAGTGTTAAACGATTAGTTTATTATTTTTGTTTCCATGGCTACAAATCAGGCAGATTGATGTAATATGTGTGCTTTCTTCTCACACGCACCCCCTCCCAGGCTTTTGTAGATTTCTTCTCTCAGTGCCTCCATGAAGAATATAAGAGCAAGGGCATCTTTGTGCAGGTGAGTAGAGTTTGTTTCAGTTAAGTATCCCCCATTTTTTTGGTGTGGTTTCCACAGCAACTGTTGCTGTCTTGGCAACGAAAGAAAATCACATTCCCAAGTAGGTGAATGTGGCGTTAGCACATCATTAAAGACATAGTTTCTTTTCCCTTTATGCACTTCAGTCTAGATTTGAAAAAATGATTCCCTAGAATTTTCAAGTACAGATACCTCAGGTAGAACTACATGCAGCATAAACAGTTGGAGCATAATTATTTTAAGTTCTTAACGGTTTTGAGAGCAATATATGTCCATATCTCTCAGCTGCCAGAAATGTAAGATGTGCCATGACTCTGTTTCAAAGCCACTGTATAATAACCACAAGAGAGGGTAGAGAGCTGAGGAAAGCTAATGTTTACTAGAGCAGGGATGATTGCATACTCTAGGATGATAGTGTATCAGGATGATTTTTAATGTCTTTGTAAATTGTGATAAAATACTGTAATAGAAAACACCATTTAAATAATTTTCAAGTGTCCAGTTGAATGGCATTAAATACATTCACATTGCATTGTTGTGCAGCTGTCACCACCATCCATCTCCAGAACTTTGTTCATCCCCAAAACTGAAACTGTGTCCATTAAACATAGTTAAATTCCTCAAAGATCTTCCCCAAAGTTCATCCCCAAAACCGAAACTGTATCCATTTAACACAGTTAAGTTCCTCAAAGATCTTCCCCCCATCCTCAGCCCCTGACAACCACCATCTGTTCTCTGTTTCTCAGTTTGATGACTCCTCATGTGAGTGGACTCACACAGTGTTTGTCTCTTTGTGAGTGATGTATTTCATTTAGCAAAATGTCTTTAAGGCCCATGTGTATTGTAGCATGTGACAGCATCTCCTTCCTTTTAAAGGTTGAATACAATCCCATTATATTATTTGTTTATAATACACATTATATGTAGTATTATGTGTTTTATTATATACATTATAATTGTGTTTATAATAATGCACATATGTTTATCCATTCATCTATTGATGGACATTGGGTTACTTCCAACTCTTGGCTGGTATGGATAATGCTTCTGTGAATGTGGATGTACACCTATCGTTTTGAGACCCTGTTTTCAATTCCTTTTGATCTGTACCCAGAAGTGGGATTGCTGAATCGTACGGTAATTCTATATATTTTTTCTCAGAGGAAAAACATTCTATGTATTTTTTTAAAGGGAAGATACTGTTTTCCATTGTAGCTGCCCTTATTTATGTTTCCACCCAAGTCCTTTGCCCATTTTTTAATTGAGTTGTTTGCTTTTCATTGTTGAATTGTAAAAGTACTTTATATATTCTGTATATGAACTCTTTAGTAGATATATGACTTGCAAATATTTTCTCCCACTCTATATCACCTTTTCACTCTAGGATAGTGTCCTTGGATGCACAGAAGTTTTTAATTTTGATATAGTTCAATTTATCTATTTTCTCTTGTCTGCACTTTTGGTGTCATATGCAAGAAATCTTTGACAAATTTAATGTCACAAAGCACTTCCCCTGTGTTTTCTTTCAAGAGTTTTATAGTTTTAGCTCTTATACTATCCATTTTACAGAGAACTTTGATTTTGTTATGTAGCTAACAGATACAATGCTGTGAAAATACAATACAAAATACGAGAGGAAGCAAATATAGGTGTTTTTATGAGTATCTATCTCGAATCAGCTATTGTTCAACACAAAGAAATAATGGCTCACAGTATTTCCATGCTTAGGCATATTTTTAAAAATATCTTGGGAAAAGCTGCAATTCTTACCCCTTTCCTTCTTCTGCCCACAACCTGCGCCCACCTCCTCACAGACCCATTGTTCATTATGCTTTCATTTTTGTGATCCTAGTATTTTGCTTTTTGCAACCTGCAGCCCCAGATGGTCAATTACCATCATCATCATCATCATACCTAGTATTTGAGTGGATGCTTTTCAGGCACAGTGCCAATCACTTCATATGTATCCATTTATTTCCTTGCATCTCATAATGATTCCGCAAGATGGTGTAGTACACTCATTATCTTCTTTAAATTAATGGAAATTGGGGTTTAGAGAGGTTAAGCCAGTTGCCTATATAGAACCTGGTCTCAGTCTGAGTCTGTTTGGCACCAAAGCCTTTGTTCTTAACCACTGGGCTGTTTGTTCCAGGCTTTTAGAACAGCATTGAACACTTACTGATCCATCTATGCTTTGGCAGTTATGGAACCAGAAGGTGCTTGGCTGCGTAGTTACATTTCCTCCCGTATGTCTTTAGATAGTTAAAATGGCCCTAAGTGTTACCTAGATCTAGCTTCTGAACCCTTTCCATTCTCCAAGCAGATACTGGAGCTAAATCAACCACAGTGAGAGGAAGTGGTACTTAGAGGAAGGCTAGCGTGAATGTTTCCTCATCTCCTGGGGACTTCTTAAAGCCTGCTTCTTCTGAATCCCCCCACCTGGGGTCTTGTCCAAGGAATCCTCAGATGTCACTAGGGAGGACAGGGTTTTTGAGAACCCTGAATTCTATACTGAACTACCACACTCCCTCTGAACTTTGACACCAGTCATTTCAGTACTAGTAGCTCAAAGTTGCTAGGTAGAATGTGTTGTATTTTGGTAATAAGGAAGCCAATAAATTATTCATAGGGGGTAAATGTCACAGGCCACACAATGTTATGCCATTTTCTTATTCTAAATCTATTACCATCAAGCTATTCAATAATTTTTAAATACCCACTGAGACTCAGCACGAATCTTACAGGTCCGTTGGTAGGTGACCTATAGGCAGGGTGACCAGAAGCTGCAAGCATCTCGACGACAAGAGGGGGAGTGTCAGGCTTCTGAGCACAGATGAGCGATTTCGAAAATGCAATGAATTGACAAGTCTATCTCCTCTTTCATTACCACAGCTTGTTTTCCTTCAAGATCTTTTCTCCATATTTATTCTCTGCCATTAATCTGAAGAAACTGCTACCAAAACACATTAGCATGTGTTTTCTGAAATATTTTACGAAGTAAACTTTTCTTTTTCCCTNCACAGTCTCCCCTATCTGCGATTAAGCTCAGTACACAGCCCACATAAGGACTGGATATGTCTCAGTGTTTTGTGGCCATGTTTACACCTCCCCATCTCTCTCCTCGCCTGCAGTGTGGGGCTGTGATGAGGTTCCCTAGGGAAGAAGAATTCAGTGACTTAATTCAGAGAAGAACAATCACTTCCTCTATTCGATATTTTTATAGTGCTGTGGACAAGGATACTGCAACAGTCTGATGGTATAGTGAGGCATTTATAGCATAATAAAGGCTTGGCAATTTTTTTATTTAGGTGATAATTAAGGAAAGTGTTATGATTGGGAATTTCATGGGTCTAAGGGAATTCTGCTGGAGAGCATGGCTACAGGAAGCTCAAAATGCAAGCTACTAAATTTTACAGAGTTGGGTGAGTTTAATATTTGGCTTGTAAGAAGGCAAGTAATTCAAGAGTATGTTTGTATGAAAAGGTTACTTCCTTATCAGCAGTGGTGTTTTCTGCTTTGTTCTTTCAGTATTTTAGTTCTAGTAGATCCTCAATATTTGCACTACTGAGACACTGTTGTGTGGCTGTTAGCAAGTAAGCAGTGTGATGAATTGAGAATGCTGCATCACAGAAAATAATACTTGGCTTGTTTACTTGGATATTTGTCATACCAAACTGGAAATGTGCTGAAGTATGAGCAACATGAGTCTTCATTATGGAACTTCAGCAAATATTCTTAATATACCTTCCAATCTTAGAAGTGTTCCCCAGGACCCCAGAAAATGAGAGATTAACTAGGGTTTAGTTTTATGTTTGCTTTTGTGTACAATTAAGCGCAGCCCATTTTGTCCTGCTTGATATAACGGTTGTCATGAGTCTGGCTGTGCCATGGAAACTGGTTTGACGTCACTAAAACTGCTTAGATGGAGAATTAGAGCTAGACAAAGTAGTTGATTTTAAAGATGAGTCCTTTGTGCCTCACAGTCCAGATGTTCATCCCCAGCTCTCCATAAAGAATAGGTGCTGTATACAGTACAAGGATTAAGACAGCTATGCCCAGTGTGTTAATTTTGATGCAGACAAAACTAAGCTGAATATTATCATCTTTGGAGAGAGAGAATTTTGTGCTGTTGTGTGGGTGTGGGTGTGGAAGGAAGGTTTTTGCTCCATAAACGTACATGTGCTTCTTGGTAGCACATAGTTTTTGTAAAAGGGGTGTTTTCTCTACTGTCATCTTTGGTTCAATTATAAATGCTATCCTTTTATTTACTTAGGTCTAGTGCATTCTTGCTTTACACTTTGTTGGCCTTGGGCTTGTTTTAATGTATTTTAGAATGCACATATTGTGTTTTGAATCAAGTACTCTCAAATTCTGACTTTTCTCTAATTCAGACTCTACTTTCTAGAAAGTTTAATAAGGTAGAATGTTTGAGAACAAAAATCTTAGTTGTCTCAAGGAATAAGCAGGTAAAGGAACATACCTGCATAGTTGTGAAATATTTGACTATTGGTCTATTATTTTGGAAACCAGGAAAGAAGTATTTATTATCTTTATGTGGATTTTCCTGTATTGAAATTATTGCTGTGGTGAGTGACATTTTAAGTCTGTTTTGTTGAGGTCATAGTTTAATTTTTAAAATGTACTTGATAACATTAAACTCTTTTAAGTTGTTTTCATTTGTGAGGAATGAAACAAAAAAATCTAAGATTTTTGTTCAAAGGCACCCACAGCCACCCCAGCCAGTGTGACATAATGGAGCGCATCATCCAGCTGATAAAACCTGTAGCAACAGGCCCGAGCTTTGGCGAACCTCATCGTCTCCAGCCACTTCAGGCTGGCTGCTTCTGGTTGTATGAGAAAAGGTTAAAGTAAAACCGCCTAAACCTACAATGATGCTTGGGGTTTGGGAAGGGGGTCCTAGTTGTCAGGATTTGGGGTTACTTCTCAGAAAGTGTATTGCGCTACGTAAGGTACAATCACTCCCTTAGCTTCCACTGGATTGGGATCTGCTCTGAGCTTAAAGGTGACACGGTCTGATATAACTGTATTTCTCTTCCTCTCTTTTTTTAACAGATTTCTCAAACATACCATAAAAATCCACCCATTTAAAGTGTACAATTTGATAGTGCCTGGTATATTCACAAAGCTGCAACCATCACCACAATGTAATTTCAGAACATTTCCAACATCCTAAAAAGATGGAAATATTTTAAACATCAAATTAATACTGTTTTGAAACTCTCCAATAACAAAAGTGCTTTTTAGTACATTTTGGTGAAAGGAATTTTTCACAAGTATAGAGAACATGAAATGACAAAAAGTCATGCTATTTCAGCAGTTTTTATCCTAGAGTGGTTGGGTTCTGACTCCTGATAGACACTCTTACTCTCTTACCTTAAAATTGAAAAAGAAAAGGCTTTTCTGTCTCTGGGAGAGACAAGCAAAAAATACAAGAATGATGTAATTAATACACTGACTAAATACTTCCAATTTTCTTCAAAACCCTAATAAAGAACTTTTTTAAATTTGTTATTTGATTTCCTTGACCAAAATGTTGATGGGTTACTGCTTAGAAAAGTGCATATTACTAACAAGGACTTCAGTTAAAAACAAAACAAACAAACAAAAAACAACAACTTGTTTCCAGTGACACACTGAGCTCAGGGTCCAGACTTCCATTTGATGGTTGAAGTGGCACCTTGCTTAGAGCCTGGCAGATGGACTGGGTGACCTTTGGGAAAGATTTCTTTTTGGATTTTTGTCTAAAATAACTTAGATGCCCTTCAGTCATGTTTCTTTTATTTTTTGCATTAAAGGGGACTGTATAGTTTTGTTTTGTTTTTTAAATACTGAAGAAATAGGCCTTGGGGAAGTAAATTCAGATGACAAATAATGAGAAACTGAGTCCAAGGAAAGGCAACTATCCTGGAGGGTGTGGGAAGAGGGTGGCGAGGGGTCAGGTTTCATAGCTGATGAAGGGGACCCACCCAGTACCCCCTCCCCATCCCCTGAAGAATGGATTTGAGGGGGAAGAGTTGGTTGTTAATTCTGTCTAGGATTCCTAAAATTCCACTCCTGTTCAGCTCTAGAGACACAGATGATTACTAATTGGGACCTTAGTAGAGTCATTATTGATACTGTGCATTTCAAGCCTGAGGTTAAGTCCACATTTGAATGACCCTAATTCCGCACTTTACCCAACCCATATGTGCTTGCTAACAGCTAGTATATTTACCGCATTGCTTTTCTCCAACTAATTTTCATTTATTTGTGGTATTAGTAATTCCTAGTAACTTTCTGAGTTTTAACTTTCAGTCATCTCTAAATTTACAGAGCTTTGCCTTTTGGCAAAAGAGTATGGTTGGACGAACTATAGGTCACATCATTTTAGAGTCAACTGTTTAGTGTCTGAATATCTGCTACCCAGAGTAAGTAGGAGGTCAGGACATAACCATTCACTTATTGCCAGAAGGTTTTATTAAGTGCCTGGTAACACGCACAGGGCTGTGCACGGTGTTCTGGGGAAAAGTATAAGACAAGGGCTGTGATGTCCAGAGGCTTAGGGTTTTGTTGAAGGAGAAAAATCTTTGTACACATACAATAATTAAATGCTACAGCAGGGTAGTGTGTGATGCTAGGCCAAAATAAAAGCATACAGGGATTATAAGAGTGTTTCTAAGGGTGAGAATTCTTGGTGATATGCCAGAGAAGACCTCTGAGAGGCCAGAGATCATGAGACTTTAGATCTGATCCATTCACACTCCCAGATTCCTGAAACTGAGGAATAAGCTAATTGCTAACAAGAGCTATTTTTAGTTGATTGAGTTATACCTCATTCACTGACCAAGCTTATCACAAGGTGATGAAAGGCAAGGAAACATAGGTGTTAGAAAAGCAGCTGTTTCAAATAATTCTGTATTTTAATCTATAATTTTCAAAAAGTTGTGTATATGATTTCATTCTTTTATTTTATATTTTCCTTTTTTAGGTCAAAAGGGGCGATTCTGAACATCTCCTCTGCCAGTGGCATGTATCCAGTCCCACTGATGACCATGTACTCGGCAACCAAGGTGAACAGTGTTTTAGGAAATCATGTCAGAATGAAAATGAGGAATGATTTTCAGTCTGAGAAACGAGCATAGAACTTTCTTGAAGTTCTCTTCTTGGCAGTTTTCAAATGGACTGAGAAAAAAAGGAAAACACCTGACATTTGTTTCAGGGAAGCCAGAACCGTAGACATACTGATTGGTGTAAACTTATCAAATGGGGCACCAAGATCTGTGGACCATAGGTGTTTTTTTTTCTCCCGGTAGTTTACTGATTTTAAAATTGATATCTGTACTTTCCATAGAAAGCTGGTCCAGGCCAGTTGGCTCAGTTGCTCAGACCATGTTAATGTCTAAGACTAGGGATTTGATCCATGAATGAGTCGGCTGCCTACAGCATAAATTCCAGGTGCAGAGCTAAGTAGGAGGATAGCAGCCAGCCAGCACATAAATACACATGGTAGACACAAAATAGGCTGGGTGAAGTGTGGGTGTTTTGCCACATTGTTGAGAATTCACAGATATTTATTGTCACTTCTGGGGTGAGGCAGAGCTCTCAGTAAGATAGAATTTTATACAACATCACCATTCCCCTCTTCATATTACCACTAGAGAAATAATTTAGAATGCATTTCCTACTTCCTATAGGTCAGTGGCATCAACCTCATATACATTGCTGAGGCATAGGGTACATCTCTGAAATGACAATGACCATTGAAATGCTGAAATAAAGTGAATAAAACATAATACACAATTAGAACTTGGAATACGTCAAAACAATTGTCTTCTTTCTCACGTGGCTCTTTGTCTCCTGGAAAAGAGTAAATGGTGACTAAGAAAGCTTGGCACCATCTCCAATTCTGCAAATCTACTTGTTTTCGGTATCATTGAAACCTACAGTAGGCATATTTAAACTGAACACCATGTTTCTTGAAGTGATTGGTGAACTCCAACTTCTCAAACCTGTTTCATTCCACAGACACAAGATGGTAATTGGGACCCTAGTGGAGTCATTATTGACATTTTGTGTTGCAAGCCTGAGGTTGAGCCCACATTTGAAAAGTGGTACATTATATTTAACAGATAAATTTAAAGTTGTACTATCAGAAGAAGATGGGCTATCATGTTCATCTCTACACTTCTTGGATCTTGCCAGCCCAAAACAAAGGACCAAGAGGATGCTTGCTCTTTTTGTTTTTTTACTGACAACAACATCCCATAGAACAGAATTGAACAGAATTCATATTGTATTTCTGTTTGAATGGCAAGTGGGGAGGAGGAACACATCCTTTGTTATATAATAAAACATTTCTTCTTGGAAAATAATCTTCTGAAAAAAGTGAAGGTAAAAAGAACCTTTTCCAGTTAGATCAAAATTTGATCTGGATATTATATTTGGTAAGAGCATAATTTAGTGGCAGCTAAAAATAACTTGAGTTTTGTTTTTAATGATCTCTTCTGCATTTGAAATTAAAAGAATGATTAGAAGCTGTAGTGTTAAACGATTAGTTTATTATTTTTGTTTCCATGGCTACAAATCAGGCAGATTGATGTAATATGTGTGCTTTCTTCTCACACGCACCCCCTCCCAGGCTTTTGTAGATTTCTTCTCTCAGTGCCTCCATGAAGAATATAAGAGCAAGGGCATCTTTGTGCAGGTGAGTAGAGTTTGTTTCAGTTAAGTATCCCCCATTTTTTTGGTGTGGTTTCCACAGCAACTGTTGCTGTCTTGGCAACGAAAGAAAATCACATTCCCAAGTAGGTGAATGTGGCGTTAGCACATCATTAAAGACATAGTTTCTTTTCCCTTTATGCACTTCAGTCTAGATTTGAAAAAATGATTCCCTAGAATTTTCAAGTACAGATACCTCAGGTAGAACTACATGCAGCATAAACAGTTGGAGCATAATTATTTTAAGTTCTTAACGGTTTTGAGAGCAATATATGTCCATATCTCTCAGCTGCCAGAAATGTAAGATGTGCCATGACTCTGTTTCAAAGCCACTGTATAATAACCACAAGAGAGGGTAGAGAGCTGAGGAAAGCTAATGTTTACTAGAGCAGGGATGATTGCATACTCTAGGATGATAGTGTATCAGGATGATTTTTAATGTCTTTGTAAATTGTGATAAAATACTGTAATAGAAAACACCATTTAAATAATTTTCAAGTGTCCAGTTGAATGGCATTAAATACATTCACATTGCATTGTTGTGCAGCTGTCACCACCATCCATCTCCAGAACTTTGTTCATCCCCAAAACTGAAACTGTGTCCATTAAACATAGTTAAATTCCTCAAAGATCTTCCCCAAAGTTCATCCCCAAAACCGAAACTGTATCCATTTAACACAGTTAAGTTCCTCAAAGATCTTCCCCCCATCCTCAGCCCCTGACAACCACCATCTGTTCTCTGTTTCTCAGTTTGATGACTCCTCATGTGAGTGGACTCACACAGTGTTTGTCTCTTTGTGAGTGATGTATTTCATTTAGCAAAATGTCTTTAAGGCCCATGTGTATTGTAGCATGTGACAGCATCTCCTTCCTTTTAAAGGTTGAATACAATCCCATTATATTATTTGTTTATAATACACATTATATGTAGTATTATGTGTTTTATTATATACATTATAATTGTGTTTATAATAATGCACATATGTTTATCCATTCATCTATTGATGGACATTGGGTTACTTCCAACTCTTGGCTGGTATGGATAATGCTTCTGTGAATGTGGATGTACACCTATCGTTTTGAGACCCTGTTTTCAATTCCTTTTGATCTGTACCCAGAAGTGGGATTGCTGAATCGTACGGTAATTCTATATATTTTTTCTCAGAGGAAAAACATTCTATGTATTTTTTTAAAGGGAAGATACTGTTTTCCATTGTAGCTGCCCTTATTTATGTTTCCACCCAAGTCCTTTGCCCATTTTTTAATTGAGTTGTTTGCTTTTCATTGTTGAATTGTAAAAGTACTTTATATATTCTGTATATGAACTCTTTAGTAGATATATGACTTGCAAATATTTTCTCCCACTCTATATCACCTTTTCACTCTAGGATAGTGTCCTTGGATGCACAGAAGTTTTTAATTTTGATATAGTTCAATTTATCTATTTTCTCTTGTCTGCACTTTTGGTGTCATATGCAAGAAATCTTTGACAAATTTAATGTCACAAAGCACTTCCCCTGTGTTTTCTTTCAAGAGTTTTATAGTTTTAGCTCTTATACTATCCATTTTACAGAGAACTTTGATTTTGTTATGTAGCTAACAGATACAATGCTGTGAAAATACAATACAAAATACGAGAGGAAGCAAATATAGGTGTTTTTATGAGTATCTATCTCGAATCAGCTATTGTTCAACACAAAGAAATAATGGCTCACAGTATTTCCATGCTTAGGCATATTTTTAAAAATATCTTGGGAAAAGCTGCAATTCTTACCCCTTTCCTTCTTCTGCCCACAACCTGCGCCCACCTCCTCACAGACCCATTGTTCATTATGCTTTCATTTTTGTGATCCTAGTATTTTGCTTTTTGCAACCTGCAGCCCCAGATGGTCAATTACCATCATCATCATCATCATACCTAGTATTTGAGTGGATGCTTTTCAGGCACAGTGCCAATCACTTCATATGTATCCATTTATTTCCTTGCATCTCATAATGATTCCGCAAGATGGTGTAGTACACTCATTATCTTCTTTAAATTAATGGAAATTGGGGTTTAGAGAGGTTAAGCCAGTTGCCTATATAGAACCTGGTCTCAGTCTGAGTCTGTTTGGCACCAAAGCCTTTGTTCTTAACCACTGGGCTGTTTGTTCCAGGCTTTTAGAACAGCATTGAACACTTACTGATCCATCTATGCTTTGGCAGTTATGGAACCAGAAGGTGCTTGGCTGCGTAGTTACATTTCCTCCCGTATGTCTTTAGATAGTTAAAATGGCCCTAAGTGTTACCTAGATCTAGCTTCTGAACCCTTTCCATTCTCCAAGCAGATACTGGAGCTAAATCAACCACAGTGAGAGGAAGTGGTACTTAGAGGAAGGCTAGCGTGAATGTTTCCTCATCTCCTGGGGACTTCTTAAAGCCTGCTTCTTCTGAATCCCCCCACCTGGGGTCTTGTCCAAGGAATCCTCAGATGTCACTAGGGAGGACAGGGTTTTTGAGAACCCTGAATTCTATACTGAACTACCACACTCCCTCTGAACTTTGACACCAGTCATTTCAGTACTAGTAGCTCAAAGTTGCTAGGTAGAATGTGTTGTATTTTGGTAATAAGGAAGCCAATAAATTATTCATAGGGGGTAAATGTCACAGGCCACACAATGTTATGCCATTTTCTTATTCTAAATCTATTACCATCAAGCTATTCAATAATTTTTAAATACCCACTGAGACTCAGCACGAATCTTACAGGTCCGTTGGTAGGTGACCTATAGGCAGGGTGACCAGAAGCTGCAAGCATCTCGACGACAAGAGGGGGAGTGTCAGGCTTCTGAGCACAGATGAGCGATTTCGAAAATGCAATGAATTGACAAGTCTATCTCCTCTTTCATTACCACAGCTTGTTTTCCTTCAAGATCTTTTCTCCATATTTATTCTCTGCCATTAATCTGAAGAAACTGCTACCAAAACACATTAGCATGTGTTTTCTGAAATATTTTACGAAGTAAACTTTTCTTTTTCCCTAATAATGAATTACAAATTATGTAATTCCATTGATCATTGTCTTCCTTCATGTGAGTTCATCCAAGGTTTAAACTTCGTATGAATTTGTTGAAAAATTAAAACTGAAATGATTGTGAGGGAAACTATAGTTGTTATTTCTGTATGAACATCAGAATGCTGAAGTAGAATACAATTCTGACCAAAAGGAGAAAAAATTGTTTTGGATGAAATTCAGAGTTCACAATTACTGGTTTGTCTTTGGTGGTGTTTTATGTGTACACATTTTTTGGACTAGGAGTATTTATCAGCTGATTCCCCTTCCACTTCATCCCACATACCGTTTCCTGGGTGATTGTGTTAAATACAAGTCAGATAATGGTGCTGTCCTCCAGTAGAGGCCTGTAATACTCAGGATTGAGTTCATACTCTGCAAGGTCTTTGCCTCTTGTACTACTCCCTCATCCCACCGTGTTCCAGCCAGATTGGGCACTGTGGTATCTAGTCTGTGCTCTGCTCTCTGCCGTGACTGGCTCTGCTGCTGGCATGCACTTTCCCCAGCTCCTCTCCAGGTCCCCTCCCTGCTCCATTCAAACCTGAGCCTATGGGCACTGTCCATCTTCCAAAGCTCAGGCCACACTTCACCTGCCCTGGGAAACCTCTCAGCCACTTGCGCACATTTGGTTACACCTCTCTCTCTGCTCTCTTTCCTCTGCCTGATATTCTCTGGCCCTGTGCCCTCTCCCACTTTAATGTGTTCTTGAGAACTGGGCTTTTCTCTGGTTTGTCTTTGTGTTGCTAATGGCATGTGTGTCGTTCATCACACACTAGAGACCTGCTTTTTGCTTGACATCACAGAGGACTCAGGCATGTGAGGCCGTGCTTTATGGCACACAGGCATCCATTCTGAAGGCTTTTGGGGTTTCTTTTGTTGCTTCCATATGCCCCTGGCCTTGAATTTTCATCCTCTGTATCTGGAGGGCTTTCAGGGTCAATGCTATGTTGCCCAGTTTTAGTTTCTTTTAATCTTTGGAAGGAAAGCTCTCCTTTTAGATCTACCCCTGTGTGAATGTGTACCAGATTACTCTTCTGGGAGGGGAAGAGACCGTGTTTTTCAAATCCTAGGTTGTTTTGTATTAATTCTTTATTAATATTTTTTCCTTTGCTTTCTCTCTCCCTGTCTTTCCCTTGACTTCTTTCCTGTAATTTTGTAAGAGCATTTACAATTTCCTTCATGATTTCAGATTTGCTATTATCTAAGCATTTCCTGGAAATGCTAATAAACAGTAGTGACATGTGATACAAATGCCCTGGAGGTAAATTAGGATGAGAAATTCATTACTGAGTAAACATTATCAAAAGTGTGCTCTGTGGGTAAGGACTGTTTGTTTTCATTATTGCCCTATAATTGGAGCAGTAAAAATTATGTTTAACTTTCTCAAAGGGCAAAGTCATAAGTACTCTGACTGGCTAGTTGGTGTGCCCCAGTACCAGCTCCTTCTGTGTGCTCTGTACCAAGTAGGCCTTAATGCTGAGCATGTAAGAAATAGCTAAGGCTAAGATGACATCCTAAAACCATGCTTCTTGAATTCTTATTCTGTAAAACGTTCACAAGGCTTCTTATTTTTAAAAAACTTTTTATTTTGGAATAATTTCAAATCAACAGAAATTATAAGAATAAGAAAAGTACAAAGAACACCCCAGTATCCTTTACCAAGTTTCACTTGTTGTTGAACATTTTACTTTTTAAAAATATTTTATTGTTTTGTCATTGAAAAGAAAGTTGCCCACATCATGGTTCTTTACCTGTAAATAGTTCAGTGTGTATTCCCAAAGAATAAGAATATACACATTATATATCCCATAAGTTATGATAATTCTTCACAAACCTGCCTTTTGAAGTTTTTTTGCTGAAGAATTCATGAAGCCCTCCTGGATATTTGGTCATTTCAAAGCAAGAGATTAGAGCTTCCTTCATCGGGGCCAGAC